GCATTTGAGGTTCAAGTATGAAGGGTTACTGTCAACATAGGCACCTGCTTGTCAGCTACTGCCCCACCACCCCTCGGGCTATGTGTTGCTAACCCTCACCAACCTCTCCTCCTCTTTTCTGCTGCTCCCTCCCTCTGAAACAGATGCTGAGAGTCGGGGGGCCTCTCTGAAGACCTCTTAACACCCTGACACGGCCACCAGACACCTGTGGTCCGCTAACACACACGCTACACACACATACAATCTGTCTTTCACTCTCTCTCAAACACACACACACCCGGGCCCTCGCCCACGGTGCCAGGGGTGGTGAGGGGTTAACTGGCAGGGTCAAACTGACAACAGTTGCTCAGTCCAGTGGGAGGAAGTGACTACATCACACTCTCAGACATGTCATCTCTCTCTCTCACACACACAGAAACACACACGCATACACATGTCAGGGTGTGTTTAACTCAGCTAGAGTATGGCCTGGGGCACTGTTAAAACCACTCGCTCGAGGGCTGCTCTTGCACCAGATGAACTGTCCATTTGTCACTGGGGCTCGCCTAAGCTTTTGATGAACTCGCTGCTACGAATACAATTGCGACTGGTGGACCACTCCACTGATTATACTGATGCTATTACAATAATGTCCTGCCTTATTCTATTCACTGTATTCCCAGAAGATCCTTCCCTACCAGTCCTTGTGTTTTCTTTTCTTTTCACTTCCAAGTAAACGTTTTTGATATATGACTTTAATTTTCATACTGTGTTTATATAATAAATGACTACGCTATATCAAATACATAGTGGTGAGGCTCCAGCCAAGTGTGTGGTTAACAGCCAGCTGTACTGATCCAAACACCAGTGACCCACCAGTATGGAAGAGAGACCAGAAAGAACCAGACAGGCAGACTGCCAGACTAGCTCCATGTCTGAGCTGCCAAAACAGACACGCTACAAACAGGGATACCCTTTTTTTTTTTCTCCCCAGGTCCTTTTGTCTCTTCCTCCATGACTCAGTTTGTGAAGTTTGATTTCTCCCAAGTGTTGTTTCTTTTGGGCTGTCATTGTTTCCTCCAAACTGAAGTCATTAATGAGAAAAGCTACAGGATGTAAAAGAAGTTAAAAAAGAAAAAAGAAAACAGGAAGGTATATTACACACAACTTCTATTCTACTCTATTTTCTTGACCTTATGTGACCGGTCCGGTGGTTGGAATGTGCGGTAATGGGGATGGGAGGAGCGTGAGGAAAGCAGAAAGAAACCACATCGAGGAGCGGTCAAACTGTCAACCCCCGGGACCACAAGACTGTGGAGCAAGGCAGCGTGATTCATGGTGTATGGGTTACCTCACTGAGGGGAGACGGTCCAATTCCCGTCCGAAGATACTGCTGATGTCTTTGCCAACGGCCATGCATCAAGTTGTTCTGTAACAGTACGCACCAAAAATATCCCTACTATTTCCTTTAAATGGAAATTTTCAGAGATGTGTTTCTGCGTGCGCCCAGGCTAAAACAAAACCTATACTGTGGTAAATGGTAATCTAAAACTTTATGTAAAAATGTTCACGAGTACAAGCAGAGAGGCACTGCTCGGTTTTCCTGCGGCACAGCAAAGTAAGCAGGGAAGGGAAATGAAAAGAGACAATCTCTCACAGTGTGAGCGTGTCTGCATGCTACCCTGCAAGTATCCTGCACACTTTCTTGTTTCCACCTCATTCCAGTCACGGGATGCTTTCTCTTTCCACCTGCCGCTTAATACCGCTCCTCGCTGCAGGACGACGGTTAACCGGTATCCTCCCCCTCACTGCAGACGGGGGTCCACCTTGATGAAACTCTGCTTGGGGGCTCCCGTTTTGGCCGACTACACACCCGGGGTAATGATATCCTCTGTAGCCTGGGGCCTCCGCATCTGGTTGCCTCAATCTTCCAGTGGCTGCTTTCACATGCTGACCAGGCCCAGTCAATTCAGAGCAGCCCAGCAGGTATGCAGAGTCTCAGCTTCACGGTGCGGGCATAGAAACAACGTACACGCGCGCGCACAAATGTGTAAAAGTGTTTGTTAACGCAGACACACACACTGGCAGAGGTATGCACTCTACCCACAAGAGCAGATGTATAAAATGTGACTGTTAGAAACACAGAAATGTGCTTCAGCTTAGCAAGTTGGAAAGATTGGGTGTCACCTATAAAATGCCAAAATAGCTAATATTAACCCCTCAAGCAGCTATTGCTGTCATCATTCAGTTTTAACAGCAATAACAAATCTGTTACTGGATATAAAACATATTCCGTTAATTTATCTGAAGACGTATCAGACAGATTTTTAAACGGGGGGGAAAAGGAGTGATTAGCAGATACGCTATCAGAATTAGCGTCAGGACAGAAAATGTGTAAACACTATTTCCCAGTAAATATGAAGCATATGTATAGTGAGAATCTGATTAGGGCTGCTAACACTCGTAGTACGAGGACTAAACACGAGTCAGGAACAACTCACTCTTTTGATTTTATAAGGACAAAAATCAGTGTGCTGGGACTTCAGCTATACTTTTAAGATAACGCAAACAAAAAAGTTAAGAGAGAATTTCTTTCCTATTTTCACCCTCACAAAGTCCACGAGTCAAACATCTGTGTGGCCGTACACACAAATGTTTGACTAAATGTGATGCTTTCTTAAAAAGATGACTTTTATGCAATCACCAACTTCTTACTTGCATTTTAATCAACAGAAATTATTCTGACTTTGATTACTTTAGTATTTAGTGATAAGTTGAGCAAAATTCCATCGCGGATACAAATTTTGGTGACCATAACGTACATTCTCAGGCGGATGATGAACAGGAAACTCAAAAGAATTGGGAGTCATCACCAATGTTTTTTAAAAATATTTAGAAGTTAATAATCGCTGTATGTAAGAAGATGTTTGTAAAAAAAAAACTTGACCCACCAGTTAAGGAGGAGACAGGGCACATACATAAAGAAGAAGCAATAATTCTGAATAAAATGCATCTGAATTACATAAAATCAGAGGTTTATTTATTCATATAATTCATCTTTAAATTTTATTAAATTTCACATTTTGCATTGTACTTATGTAACAAGATTACATGGAAGATTTACATGTAATCAAATTATTTAAAGGCAGCATTTTAGCCATAAATATTTTTAGGAGTGTACGTACATATGCTACCATCATTCAGAGACCAAGACAACCGAAAATATTCCCATTACAGATAATGTAACCAGTATCTGATGCTTTTATAGAGAAATAATTTGTTAAATTAAGCCCCAGCGATAGTTAACAGTTTTGAACCATATATGGATTACAGTGGCACTCTATAGATGGATTCTGTGTCATAGAACAAAATCCTTCTATATTAATATTGTAGATCATTTACACAAGGGAAAGCACAGAAAATATCACATACAATACAACATCTTTTCCCTTTTGCTTATTTCACATTTTCTGTATCCACGCAGCAAAACATCTGTATGTCTACACCCTAACATGATATGCTGCATAGACTTATACAGACAAATCTGGAGCTAGCTACTAAATGTATGGTAAGTAGCTACTGTACCGGGACTAATAAACACTTTATCTTGTTTTCAGTGCATGAGGCTCTTGTTAGCCGGCACACGCATCATTATTGCTTTTATGGACCAGCAGACGAGTGAAATAGTTCAGGTGAGAGTAATGTGCTGATTTGTTTGTGGAATAAAGAAAACATAGTCTTAATGAAGGCTGAGCTACTGCTGAGAGTTTCATTAGCTTAACCATTGTGTATTACTTCACAGTAGGCAGCAACTATTGAGCATGTGGAGAGAAAGATACTGACAGCATATAAAACATGATGTACGCCGTCTTCCGCTTCCCTTCAGCTGCTACATAAAGCGCGAACGGTGTGGCGTCACGGCCGTGATGTGTTAGCACGCGCTCTTTGGTGAAGGATCGAAGCGTTAGCCAAACTTTTATTCTGAACCCAAAACTTGAAGTGCTAGTTTGCTGAAATGTGTTCGCACGTGCTTGGAGGAATTGGCATAGTTATCAAAGAGCTGTGACTAGACCCTAAGTTTGTCATCAGCTGCCATTATTGGGGCAGAGCTTCACACTTGTCACGTCAGTGTGGAGGTGACTACTCGGCTGAGTCACGCACCATCAAAGTTGACAGAGCTCATAATTTTTTTAGAGTTCTTCATTGTGTTAATCACAAAGAAGGAGAGATACTGATATGAGAGAGGAGAGGCGGCGGAAGCAGGGAGGAGGACACAAAAGAGAAATCCGGTGAGATTTTGAGGAGGGGGGCATCTCACGGGCTGGGAATAACACATTATTTATATGGATACACACACACGCACACATACACATACACATATAGACTTCACAGACGTTCTGGTGGATTGGCTGTGGAGCAGACCACAACACAAGTACTATGCA